TCCTGACTCCACTTGGCTCTAGACCTGGATCTGTGACTTAGATTTCACCTTTGGCTGTCCTTTTCCTTGGTGTTTGAATTTCATCAATCTCTTCCCTTTGATTCTCAGCGTGTCCTGTTGCTTTGGTGGGAGCTCCCCATCTAGCTCTCATCATGGTGGTAGAAACTCAACATCTGCCTGGTATCCACTGGGCCAGCTTCTTTTCCTCAGAGATGGTGTTCTCATGTTCTAACAGAGCATGATAATTGATAGTCATATTGATGATCCTGTGTCACCAAATCCTGATCACATTCTGGATTCTCTGAGAAGACATTACCTTTTAGGAAAAAAAAAAAAAAATCCAGTATGGTTGAAATTAAACCCATTTTATTACTTAGATGGGTCATCCTTCAGCCATTATGAAACTCTTCATCCTCCTCAATGCCTTACCCCTTGAGGTTTCTAAAAAGCAGAAATTATGTAGTACTATAAGTGCAAAGTGATACAGAGACTTATAATTTGATGAGTTACAGAATATGTTATTTAGAACATATCAACTTTTTTAGTAGGTTGAACCAGCTTTCATATCAAAAAAGATGTTACAATAAACAAAGCCCTTTAAAAAATATTGTGCTTACAAATTTGTCTTTTAGGTTAATAGCAAATACTTGAGTAGAGTTGTTATGTTATAAAACAGAAAGGGAGATAGTAGAACAAGTGATTGTTGACATGAAATGTTTATTTCGGAGAGAATTCTTGGCATTTTTGCCCCATGTCAGCATAATAAGAATTTGGAGGAGAGGAGGGAAGCATTGATGTATTTGTTGAGGATTAATGTCCCTGTAGAGCATTTGTGTTAGTGAATATGTTATGGTAATACCATAAATGTAGTAATTAAAAAGTTGCACACTAAACACTTTGTGTGCTGGCATAAATATTCCTTTCCTCCCCTTGGTGGCTTGCATTCAAGTGAATGGTGTATTGTTCATCTTGGTCTCCTAGATTCTTAATCAAGAATAGGAAAAAAGGATGGCAGTCTCAAAGATCTGTTTCCTTCTCCATATATTGCCGTTCAGATGGGCAGAAACAGATTGGATGTTTCAAGACCGAGTTATTTTTTAACAGTTCAGAAAAATGTCACATAGTACATACTAATAAACAAAACAACAACCCCACTATTCCTCACTTTTGGGAACTTTATCCTTAAAGTTGTTTCCAAACAATGCTACAGTGCGCTTCTTGTCATGTGTAAAATGTGTTCGGTGTGATCAGTGATACCTTAGAGCTTATGCGATACAAAAGAAATGAGATGCTGCATAATATAAATATGTCTTAGGATCAGAATTTTTAAGGAAGCGAGACTTGATTATCTCATTAGGATCTGTTGCCCAGTGGGTTGAAGCTGAGTGGGTTGCTCTGTGAATGCGCGGCTGGGAGGAGAGGCACCCTGCTGTTAAAGTAATAATGGGTCTGCCCTTCACACCAAAGGATAACAAAGAAGGCAGATAGATGTAAAGTGGGCCATTTCTGTTTCTTTGTACACTCAAAATGTTCGCACCTACTTATTTTCCCACTTAAGAGGCATCCTGTTTTTCATAATTTCATGATTTCTGATTTCTCTTAACACACAATATTTATTTATGAGTTCACAGAGACGTTCTTCTGTGAAGAGGAAAGTAAATGCAGTTGAATGCGATTTGCGGCTTGGCTCTGAGTCAGTTAGGGTGGGAAAGGAAGGAATAGAAAGACTAATTCTGTTCTCACCCTTTAATTGGCCTCTTTACCTCCTCGTTGTGAGAACTCTTCGCTTATGTATTGGTTTATCGATTGATTCCATATTTATGGACTGCTTGCTCTGTCTCCTGTGCCCCAGGGACACAAAGACGAATGGCTCAGTCAGTAGTCATCTGATGGCTCTGGAACCATCTCAATCCTGGCTGACTTCAAGGATGATAATGATGTGTTTATCTAGAATTCTAAAATTCTGTCATCTTCCAAAGATGGCCTGGAGACATGTTCATGTGACCAGAATAGATAAACAACCCTGGAGCAGCCTCAGAGTTTGTGAGATCACAAAGGCTGCCTAGAGAACAGAAAATCTGCTTTTCAAGGTGTTTTCCATTGCGTTAGATTTTCTAATGAGCCTTGCTACTTTTGGCATCGTTGGAGTGCTTTCCAAGAGCTAGGTCACTCCACCCACTTCCGGATTCACCAAAACCTGAGGCGAAAGAGTTGGGCAGGAGATGGAGGATGATGACTGCGCTGCTGTCTTAAGGGACGTTTCGCTAGGAAATCGCAGGCAGGTGCCGCTGCCAGCTCCACCCTCCTCTTCTTTTTGCCTTTTCTTTAAGATGTCTGACTCTTCATTCTCATTAGGTTAGTAATGCTAGAAAGGATCTTTGAATTGAAGCATCTTAAGAGGCCTTGTACGATAGTGGGTAGTGGTTTCATTTAAATGAAACTATATGTAAACCTTTGGAAAGGTTGGCACCGGGGAACAAAGATCATTATAAGAAGAGTGTTCTTCTGAATCTTTTGCTTGTATGCTATTTTTTGGTACTACTAATAAGTTCTACTGTGGGTGTGCCTATCTCGCAAATGCCCCTTCCCACCTTGCTATGTACTGGCGTATATGTTTATCTACCTTAAAACAGGGTCAGACTACTTATAACAGGGTAGCATGCCAGAAACCAAGATTTTCAAGATCTGTGTCATCAAACCATTTATGTGTCACCTTATTCCTAGCAAAGAACCATGGCAGCTATGTATCTACAATACTGATGTCTTTTAGTCTATTACCTCTAATATCCTAGTGCTGTTACCTACAAACTTACTATAACCGTATTTGTTTTCACTCCTCTATGTAATTCTAATATAAGAGGATTGTGAATTCCCCCTTCCTCTTCAAGGTCAGGCCCTTCGTTTGTACTCCTGACCCCTTTCCCCCACCTCCTTTGGGATTTTATTCCATCCTTACCTCCTCCCTCTTGAACTCTCAGCCTTTCTGTCTCTACTGCTGTCAATACGGACTTCCATTAATTAGCACCAGTGCCTTTCAACAACTGTTCGTTCTCCTTTCTCTTCTTTCACTTGCTCTGTTATCACTGCCTCTACCACTTCAGTGAAACCACCTTCAGTCAAGGTGGCCAGTGACTGCTTAAGTGTCAAAGGCAAAGGTATAGTTTTCATTTCTTATCTTTATTCATCTCATTGTATTCCATGGTACCTCCCTGCCTTTCTTCCTTGGTCCTTGTCAGAAGATCTTTTTCCTCTGCCAGTTCTGTCATTGTCTCTACGGTTCTGCTTTTGGCCCTAATCCTCCAGTCTTCTCCCTCTACCCATGTTCCTTCAGTGATACCACCCACTAATCTAATTTCTGCTACTTTCTATGTAGTGACCACTTCTGTGCCTTTACGTTTTGCTCAGGTTTCTTCCCCAAGCCTCACTCTCAAGAATATCTGGTTGTCCTCACTCGAATCTTCTACATCTCAGTTTCTAATGCACCAAACTAAACCCGTTGTCTTCCTTATTAAACTTGTTAATTCACTAGTATTCTCTACCCCATTTGTCACTGCCATCCACCCATATGTAGTCAGGTACCATGTTGCTCTGCTTTTAGTGTCTGGATGTTTCCCAAGTACTAATTCTTCTCTCCTTTTCCCTTCCCCACCTACCTCCACTGCCCTAATCTTCACCCTTCCTCTCCAACCTAACTGGTCTCCCTGCCACTACTCTGCCCTCTCTGAATCCATCCAGAGAGAGAGTCATGCATCTGAAACCCAGCTCTGATCCATCAGTGGCTGTCTGCAACTAAAGTTCTCGAATATGTGTACAAGGTTACAGTCGGGCTCCAGCTTCTTTCCTGGCCTCGCTCTAGAGAGTCCAGCAACACGATACACCAGGCAGTTTTCTTACTCCTGTATTTTCCGTTGTCTTGTTTCCCAGTCCCCGCTTGGCTAAGTCCTGCCCAGCCTGAGGGCATGCCAGGCACCCCTGGTACTTGGAAGCCTTCCCCGACTTCTCCATTTCTGGGCTGCTTGCCATGAATCTCAGTCATTGTGCTCATCCCACTGCCCTTTGGGGTCAGCTGTGTGTGTTTCCTGGTCCCACTAGACTTTGCTTTCCTTAAAGACAGAGACAGTGCCTTATGTCTTCACATATAAGAGGCGTTCAACGTATGTTTTTTAAGTGAAGACTGGATAAGGACAATAAATCAATTTGATGTCTACAAAAAAGGGTAAAAGTAATCTATGCATAGTAGTGCCTTTAGGAGGGGGCACGAAGGGGGTTTCTGGGGTACTGATAATGCTCTGGGTTTTGATCTCGTGTGTTCAGTATAGGAAAATTCATTGAGCTGTGTGTGGTATGCATCCTTTTCTATATTTATGTTCTGCTTCCATGAAAAGTTAAAAAAAATTAATTTGATGTCTTTGGTACCCAATGTAGAAAATTTAGTTCTTCCTTTCAAGCTTTTAGAGTTTTTTTTTTTTTTTTTTTTTTGCAGAATATCAGTTTAGATGTCACAACAAAGAACCAGGCTAGTGCTATTCCTTGACGTTAAGGAAGAGTGAGATGAAAAAGCGTCAGCGTGGGTGGGGTTGTCTGGTCCTCTAAAGAGGGCGAGTGGCGGTCCAGTGGTTAAGACTCTGCCCTTCTAATGCAGGGAGTGCAGTTTGATCCCTGGTCAGGGAACTAAGATCCCACATGCCACGTGGCGTGGCCAAATAAATAAATAAATAAAGAGGGCCAGTGAGGGCCAGCCCTGATGGATAGACTTGCAGCGACGTGCACTTCTGTCACACTTAGTATAGGGGCCACATGCTAATAATCATCAACGTGCTCTGGGCCTGCCAACAGTGACAGGGAGACTTCATCTCGGATGTGACTATGAATAATTCATAAACCTGGTTATCTGGAAATTTGTGGTCATCAGTAGCATTTGAATGAAAATATGCAATCATTATTCTAAATCTGTTTTTTTATTTCTACTTTCTTTTTGTCTCCCCCTCCCCGTACCACAGCTTAAACATCTCAGTCTTTCCTGAGTACTTGGAAACTGCCGGGGCCCCTGATAATGTGCTGACTGGTCGCTATGGGCAGACGGTACCCAGAGGCTCACTGTTATCCAGGCAGCTCATGTATGTATGGGATTTGTCTCTCTTTTTTTTTTTTCCTTTAATTTTCAGTGTAGAATATTGCAGGCTACTGAACTGGTGAAGGTTTGTAAGATATACATGACAGTGTTTAGAAATGCAGGAGAATGGATCCGCTCTAGGGTAAGTTTTTAATATTGAATGATGAGAAATGTTATCTAAATTAGGATTTTTATAATTCAGTGGCCCTATAAGACAGACCAGAAGTGTATATCAGCAATCTGCCTTTTCTGTTTCAGCACGTCCACTCACATACAGGTTGTTTTTTGTTTGTTTGTTTAAGTTTTCCTTTTTCATCACAATACATAACATTTGAAACAATAGCAATGCCATAAATTAGGAACATTTCCCAGTGATTTAAAAACTTCTTTTGCAATAAAAAAGTTCATGGACCCGGAAGAGATCCTCAGGGTGTGTCATTGTTGAATACATGTTGGCGAGAGAGTCCCCGACTCTAATTTCTTTTTTTTTTTTTTTTTTGTGGTACATGGGCCTCTCACTGTTGTGGCCTCTCCCGTTGTGGAGCACAGGCTCCGGACGCGCAGGCTCAGCGGCCGTGGCTCACGGGCCCAGCCGCTCCGCGGCACGTGGGATCTTCCCGGACCGGGGCACGAACCCGTGTCCCCTGCATCGGCAGGCGGACTCTCAACCACTGCGCCACCAGGGGAACCCCCGACTCTAATTTCTTAACATTCTGCATAGGAGGAAGCTGTTGATTCCCTCAGTGATGACTTTCTATGTCTCACAACAGTTAAGTTTTCCCAACAGTAGTCTTGGGAGTGGCTACAAATGCAGCCTTTTCCTATTTGGCTCTACCCTGATAACTTAGGAGAAGAATGATTATTGCCCATGTAATGATCTCTCTTATTTCTATAAAGCATAGTCTGTCTCAAACTTATTTTTTGCTCTCTTTAGTCTTTCAGCCTTGGGCCAGCTGTTTAGGTATTCACCTGTTTTTGTTGCTGCCCTTTGGACCTCTGGAATTTTGAATTGAAATCAGGGGTGTGTTTGGGGTAATTCCTCAGAGTGCCTTTGCTCCCCTATCCTTTCTGGAGTTAATGGTTATTCACAGTTACCGTTAAGCCCCATTTCCTTGTACATTTCTTTTTCTTTTTTCTTCGTAGAAAAGTTAGAACCATCCTCAAACCCTCCCACAGACAGCTGCTTCTAAAATAAGCCAGATCGGTGGAAGCAGCAGCGGAAGGGAGCGCTGACAGCAGACTGGGGGCTCAGACCAACCACCAGCGTTAGAGCTGGCTGGGATGGGAGCAGTGGCTTTTACTAATAGACTTTCGTATCCTCCAAGGGCATCACTGTATTACTCCAAAGTCAGCCATTTTTATAGTGAACATTATCAGAAAAAGTTTACCCTTGTCATACTGTAAGACAGAGATTGGCAAAGGGTGGCCCATGGGCCAGATCTAGCCCATGCCTGTTTTTGTAGGGCCTAACAATGGTTTTCATGTTTTTGAATGGTTACCTACGTAATCTGTTTTGCCTCTTGGCCCTCAGAGCCTAAAATACCTACAGTCTGGTCTGTTAAGAAAAAATTTGCCTGTCTTTGCTGTAGAAAAAGTTGGAAGGCATGTAGTACGATTCAATCACATGAAATTGTTAACATTCGACTGTTTTTGACCTATAAAAATGCTGATTGCTTATGGTTCAATCTAATCTATTTTGAGGAAATTCTCCCTTTAAAATGCTTAATATGTTAAAGTTTGGTTTCTTGGAGTAGAAGAAGTAAATTTCCTTGGAAAATTCACAAGTGTGGTCCTGCTCATTTTTCACCACCATCGTACCTCTCCTCTCCAGAGCTTTCTAAAGGGCCGTCAAGTAGTTGAGAGGAAGCGCTTTTTTTCCACTTGGCTTAATTCTTACTAATACTCTCTAGGAGAAAATTGTCTTCTTATCTCACCCTTCCTGGGTGCTAGGAACAAGCTAGCCACCCCCAGAATAGAGGTGGCTGCTATGAATACGCCGAGGCCTCTGCTGGACATGTCACCTGGGCCTTTTTCTGGCGGGAAGGAGGGTGCGTGTCTGCCTCGTCCAGGGGGCATGCATGATGGTCCCTTGGCCTGCTGCGTGTCTGCGTAATGCGTTCCTTGAAACATCCTTCCCTGGATGTAGAACGTGGTTCCCACCCTTCTGTGCTTTCCACCTCTCTTTCCAGTGTTATTGATCCCCTAGTCCAAAGCATTAAAACCATCATTTATTTTATGCAGTTTGTTTTCCATACTTTCCCCCTCCCCTTTGTACTTCCCCTTTCCTGATTGTTAAGTAAGATTTGCTTGTTGAAATCTCCAGCTGACATTCTTTAGTGGCTACCCTTGGTGGTAGGAAACGTTCACCTCAGCTGCTCTGTCTCCTGTCACCTAAGGCAAGAAATCTAAGATGACTTGGGGCCTCCGGACCAGGCCTAGGTCTGATCGGGAACTTTAGACATGAATAGTTCCCTGGAGATGGGAAACTATTTCAGGGGAAAGAAATTCTCTGGAGTTTATAATTTTGTCATTAAGTGTGGTCACAACCCTCCATCAAGGGTTGGAAGTACATACTGCTCTGAATTGATTCCGAGGCTTGCATGGCAAACGGGAGTTCCGGATTTTCCTTTTTCGTGTTTTGGGACCACTGTTGTGCCTTTCGAGGCCTTTTTCAGGACAGGATGCTCTTCTTTGGTGGAATGTGGAGTGGCATCCATTGAGTACCAAAGTAAGAAGTCAGTAGCTAGAGCTGACCTTTCCTCACTTTTCATATAGATATTTGTGCTTGTGTTAAGACTAGAGTTGAATTATCCTGGAAATTACTAGTCAGATTGCATCCTTATTTATTTTTGTTTGCATCTTGTAGTTTCCTTGTGTGACTGCAGTGTCCGCTCTAACCCTGACCATCAGAGTCTGGACCTCTGGCCGGAAGTCTCTCTCCCTGCAATTTGACTCCTGCATAGTGGCCACATTAATCTCACAGAAGCACGGCTCTAATCACATCACTTCCCTGTGCTCAGCGCATCCCCGCTAGTCCAGAAGGTCACCCTGACATTGGAGTCCTCCACGTTTTCTTTCACTGTTCCTTATAATACTGTCCTGTGTTGGCCCGAGTGGGCTGCTCCTGCCGAGACACACCCTTTGCCTTTGGGTCACTCATTGTTAGTGCTGTGCCCTCTCTGGAATGAGGATCCCTCTGTGGAGAACCTGCTAAAACCCCATTCTGACTTTCGGGCGCAGCAGAGTTGCCCTCTTTCCCAGGAAGCTTCCCTCGTTTCCCAGCAGGAGGCACGCGTTCCTGTAGCTCTTACATCTCCCTTGTGAAGCTTATGTCCCAAATTACTCATTCTATCTTGGCGTGTGTGTATACTTCGTCAGACCTTTGAAACTGACCTCTGTTTCATCTCCCTCCTCTCCTCTCTGTATGAGGACAGTGCTCCATCAGTGGTAGAAGCTCAAATATTTGTGGAATCACTTTGGGCTTAGGGGTGACACTGGGTAATAACTGTCCTCAGGAAGCCCCTATAAAGCATTTTCCAGAGAACTTGGTGGAACCTGTGCAGACCAAGGCCAAGGCCAAGGCCAAGAGGGTGTAATTAAGGCCTCCAGGGCTGTGCATGTGCTGGGCCCTGTGCTGCTTGCCCACCCCTGGCTCTCCTGCCTTTCCTTCCCTCTCACTCACAGGGTGGGCATTTCCTCCCTTTCTTAAGAAATTGCCGTTTAAAAAGTTTAAACAGTAGCAGGCAAATATGATTATTTCTTTTGGCCTTCCCTCCTTGACTTCCCCTGTTCTTAGTGATGAAAGACATTGGTTTTGTTTGTAGTCCTACTCCATGCCACTCACTGTGTACTGAATTTACTAGAAATTCTCCACTTCAAATGGGATATACTTTGAAAGGGTCATCATATCATCCCCATTTCACAGATGAGAATACTGAGGCTTGAAACAACAAAGTAACTTGTCACCGCGGAGTTGCAGTTTGAGCCTAGGTTTATCTGCCTTCTGTCTGTGTTCTTTCCTCCCACCAGGCTTTCTAGTGACCTGGTCATCACTTGGGTGATCACTTATTTAGATGTTGTCTACTCTCCTGTTCACCACACCATGGCTTTTAGTAACATGGCCTTAGAGGCCTAAAAGATTCTGCATCAAACGATGCTGACATCTGTCTCATATCTCCTCTTTTATCCATTATTTGAACCCAGTAATTACAGGTAATGTGAAGACCCTAGGAGAGCACTTCATACAGAAAGAGTAATAATAATACAGAAATAGTAACAATGCTTTAAAAATCATGCAAGTAATATATGTTTAATATAGAAATTTAAAAATTTTTATTTTATATTGAAGTATAGTTGATCTATAATGTTGTGTTAGGTTCAGGTGTACAGCAAAGTGAATCAGTTATACATATACATATATCCATTCTTTTCCAGAATCTTTTCCCATAGAGTTCCGTGTGCTGTACAGTAGGCCCTTGTTGATTATCTATTTTATACATAGTAGTGTGTATATGTTAATCCCAAACTTCTAATTTATCCCACCCCTCCACCTTTCCCTTTCGGTAACCATAAGTTTGTTTTCTAGGTCTGAGTCTGTTTCTGTTTTGTAAATAAGTTCATTTGTACCATTTTTTTTAGATTCCACATATAAGTGATATATGATATTTGTCTGACTTACTTCACTTAGTGTGATAATCTCTAGGTCCATCCATGTTGCTGCAAATGGCATTTCATTCTTTTTTATGGCTGAGCAGTATTCCATTGTATGTATGTACCACATCTTCTTTATCCATTCCTCTGTAGATGGACATTTAGGTTGCTTCCATGTCTTGGCTATTGTAAACAGTGCTGAAGTGAACAATGGGATGCATGAATCTTTCAGAATTGTGATTTTCTCTGGGTCTATGCCCAGGAGTAGGATTGCTGGATCGTATGGTAACTCTATTTGTAATTTTTTAAGGAACCTTTTATACTGTTCTCCATAATGGCTGTGCTGATTTACAT